AACAATGAATCATGGAACACTTCATCTAGAACTAATGATGTAATGTATGGGGATTACCATACGAATAAAAAAAAAATTCAGAAAAAAAAAAAAAAAAGAAATACAGTGGTGGGGAAAATATGTTTTGATGTCCAAGTTTTAATTGATGCATAAAACTTCTCACCAGGAGATCTAAATAGTTTTCTCCCCAGAAAAATATGGAAGGAAAGGTTCTCTTGCCTAATTTCCAATATATTTTCATTTTTAAAGATTACTTCCTTCTTTAAGGTTAAGATCCCATTTAGAGCCTACATCTGATATTTAGGTAGGGTTGCCAAGACATCTCCATACTAAGACATGACTGCATTTGTAGAATGATAGGTAACATGTTTCCATCCTCATAAGAGAGACTTTCTAATTGAAGAGGGCTGCAGCATCAAAGTTTTTGCAGTTGACTTGTGTAGTTCTGAGTAAACTTTGATTCCTCTTGACAGTGACCAAAGATTCTGCTAGAGGACTGAACCCATAAATGTGATTGTTGCCACAAGGAAAGAAACGCTGTTTTGAATATTTGCAAAATGTTCTTGTAAAATGTTTTGTGAGCAGTTTTATTTTTAACTTTAGAAATTAGAAAAAGTCATTTATTTTATGCATGATGAGATATTTACACATAATCCACTGTGGGCATATATGTTACTTTAATATCAATCATTTTGACTCTTTTAAGAATTTTGAAGAGGTTCATACTTAAAGTACTTTCATCTTAAAGATATATCTCTGTCTCCTATGACATTGCTTTGTTTCTGAAGGTAAGTTTTATTTTTTAAAAATTATATCTTTTGTTATAAGTACATATTTTCTTTCTAAAACTGATCTTTTAAAATATATCTTAATCCATTTTGAGTTTTTTGTGTGTGTATGGTATAAATTTACATACTCTATTTCTAACTCAGTGTTTTAAACTTTCAGGCTCAACTTTAAAGAAGCTTCTACACACTGGAAATTCTGTTAAGGTATTTATTTTAGATGAATGTGCAATGGCATTTTGTATCATTCTTAAATTTATTAGTACTACAAAGTGACAAAATTAGGCCATTTTGGGGGAAAAAAGGATCTTTAAAAACCACTCGACTTTATTTTAAATTGAAAATTATATGGCAAATATTGCTAGAGTTTTTGTTCTTACATCATAATTTACTGTGATATACATTTTAAATATTATTCAGAGAACAGGGCTTGGGATTCAGAGTTTGGAATTTGGAGTTCTAATTTTGATTCTGCTGTGTACAGTCAGGGAACCATTGGCAAGGTGCTAAATGCTCCACTTTTATCATCAGGAAAGGGAGGAAGCCAGTTCCTCTCCAAGCTTCAGAGTTAATGTGTTGGATTCTGTTCACCCCCGTAATCTTGTTAAAATTATAGTTGTCTCTGAATTATTTTTGCTGGTTTTGAGAACTATTGTGGGGGGAAAGAGCAGCAGAGCCTTACTTTTGAATATTTACCTATTAGTTTGCAGCAGATTGATCTTGTACTTTAGGTTAACTTTGGCTTATTTTAAAACGAACATACCTTTTATGATGATATATACCATTTGATACTAGATAAAATGACCCTAAAACATAAATGGCAAAAGAAGCCAGCCTGGAATATGTATCTTATGGGAGGTTATTCACTTGTAGCTAATCAGGTTATGTGTGTACCTTTGATAAGTTCATATATTTTTTGTTTTGTACCAGTTTAAACAATTATAGCCACTTAAATTTGATGTTAACTATCTCTTACATGTTGAAAAAGGGAGATGAGCTATTCTAGCTTCACAGTAGATTCCATATTTTATCCCTCCTATTTTATTCATTTTATTTCATTTTATTATGTTATGTTAGTCACCATACAGTACATCATTAGTTTTTGATGTGATCCACGATTCATTGTTTTCGTATAACATCCAGTGCTCCAAGCAGTACGTGCCCTCCTTAATACCCATCACCGGGCTAACCCAACCCCCCACCCCCCTCCCCTCTAAAACCCTGTTTGTTTGTCAGAGTCCATAGTCTCTCATGGTTCATCTCTCCCTC